GAATTAATTGGATAATGTTATCGTAATAGAGCCATTTTAGGGAAATAATTTTTTGCAGCAAAGCCTCAGTAACACAATTTATGGTCACTGTTATGGTTTAACTGAAAAATATCATCTAAATAGTCCATGACTAACAAAATTCAAAATAGTCCATGATTGCAGCAAAATCATGATCATACCCTGAGGTCGTGTAGACATTATCATCACCTTCTGCGATCGCGGTAAAATTCTGATCATCCCGCGTGGCCGTGTGTAGACATTTTATCGTCTCCCGTGGTCACGGAAACGTCAATGTTGTCATGCGTGATCGCAGTAAGTTGAAAATTACAGTTAGAAATAAAAAATTCACTCATAATTAATAGTTCATAAAAACTCACGTATAATTCCCAGATTTCCCGGTCGGTGGACACACTGCATATATATTGCAAAGGGGCGCTACTATTAGTTGTGCCTAGGGCGCTGACAGGGTCAAAAACGGACCTGCCGTATTTATTTCCTGTTATCGCCTCAACCCCCGTGATGTTTCTTGCGACCACGGCAACGTCAAATATTCACAATAATTTCCCGGGGGTTGAAAGTTTTAACTACATAAACAAAAAAGTCAACAATTTCGGGCAGATTTTTCGGTGATTTTTCAAACATAAAGTTCCCGCTTCTTTACAAAATTTACGCACAACTTACAGATTTTTTCCCGGTCATCAAAATTCACGTACAATTCCCGGTTTCCAGGTCAGCTGGACACCCTCAATACATTCAAAGTCAACGTTAGTTGTTTACCGGGTATTTTATGTTAGGATTGTATAATCCACAATCCAGGGTGTCTAGTTTATTTCCATTATAAAATTTAAGACTAATTCCAGACTTTTCAAGACTAATTCCAGATTTTTCAAGACTAGTTTTGTCAACAATTATTGGGTGTTGATACCAAAATGTATCAATTCTCGATTCTTGATACCGATACCAAATTTTATAGCTTAACCAATTTTTTTGCTTAGTTTAGCACAGAAAGATAGCATGTCTTTTAAAAACTTGTAAATCATAAACTTAAAATTAAATATAGGTGTAGTAGAATTTACGAAATGAAATAAGGAACATTAAATGCGTGAAGAGCGAGAATGAGCAATGAAGGCTGCTTCTCGTCTGCGGTCTGGAAACGGCAACTCTGTAATACACAGTTGGCGAGGGAGATTTGGCAACCTTTCCTATGCTTTTTGAACTTTTTCGTTTGTACTATACAATTCCAATGAACTCGGCATCGTGTGAGAGATCTTTATCATGCTTATGGCGGTTAAAGACATACAGGGTGATTGGTACTCAGTGTGACAAAAATTTGTTGGTGTAAGGACAAAGTAAATATGCAGTGTGATGACGCATATAAAATGTTCCAAGTCTAAAAATTAGCTTCCCAAAAAATTATTTTATGTTTTTCAAAAATAGCTATGTTTTTAAACTTAATACAGCTATTTCTCAATTACCTGTAAATGGATTTGAGTAGATAATGTCATTTTCGTGTTCTACATTAAATTTTGAATAACAATAATGGAAAATGACGGGGATCAGTTGTAAAAACTCCATTGTAAATAGATTCAAAGATAAAAATTAATATGTTAGATAAAAATTCAAAAATCATTGGTCAGTTGCATTTATTCACACCCTGTATACAAGAAAGTGTCGGAATATGTTAAAAACTGCGCCATTTTATAAGCTTTCCAACCATATGCTACACTATTGAGGTTATTTTTTGTTTGTTGTTTTGTAGATATTTTTTTGTTTGTTTTAGTGGTTTGAATACCAGAAAACGGGGAACTTTTTTACTGTTTTTTCCTGTTCAAGCTGAAACAAAAATACAACTTTTGCTGAATACATGCCGACTTTCAATGTTTTAAATGTTAAAGACACCATGCTTTGTAGTCTTCAAACCACCAAAGCGTACATAAGCAGACATAAAGCTCAATAGTGTAGCCATATGTTGGAAAGCTTATAAAATGGCACAGTTTTTAACATATTCCGACACTTTCTTGTATACAGGGTGTGAATAAATGCAACTGACCAATGATTTTTGAATTTTTATCTAACATATTAATTTTTATCTTTGAATCTATTTACAATGGAGTTTTTACAACTGATCCCCGTCATTTTCCATTATTGTTATTCAAAATTTAATGTAGAACACGAAAATGACATTATCTACTCAAATCCATTTACAGGTAATTGAGAAATAGCTGTATTAAGTTTAAAAACATAGCTATTTTTGAAAAACATAAAATAACTTTTTGGGAAGCTAATTTTTAGACTTGGAACATTTTATATGTGTCATCACACTGCATATTTACTTTGTCCTTACACCAAAAAATTTTTGTCACACTGAGTACCAATCACCCTGTAAACTAGAAGCTCTATTGGCTAGGAGAGGTTGTCTTGGTTAGCCCTTTTGGCTATTGAAAGGAGTGTAGAAATAGACATTTCCAAAGTAATTAATGACTTTAATTCAAGCCAGAAGAAAAGGCTTCATTTTATGTAAAAGTAACTTTTGGATGCAGTCTGGTAACATAGAATAAAGTGAAATTTGTTTGATCATGTTTACTTGATTTTTCCTTTTATAAAAAACAAACGGGCTGGGCACACATAAATTAAAATTGGGCACTCTTTTGAGTTGTGTGTGAACAATAATTGAATGGCTCCCTGGAAAAACGTTCCATGCGCCGTTTTGTAAACTTTACAGAAACTAAAAAAAAACGTTAAGAGAGTAATTTTTTAAAGATTATTTTTAGATTTTTTAGATTCTACTTGATAGGTCTAGTCAAAACAATGTTATAAGGATTTTTTTCAAGTAAAAATCCAAATTATTAAGCTTTTGACATTTTAAGTGTAAATGTAGTGGAAAAACGTTGCTTGGGCGTAGTTGATATGAACAAGCAACGTTTTTCTACTGAAACATAGCACTCTACAATACTGGCGTTTGGAACGTTTTGTAAATAATAAAGTTTTAATAGCTGCAATAATTCATTATTTTTATTGCTTAGGTACGGTACAGAAATTCTCAAACTGCAAGTGAAAGATTTTTTTACAATATTGAATCTTATTTTACTAAAAGAATACACAATATCTTGTTAATGAAACGTACATAACCCCTAGCCTTTGTATTAAGCTGATATTGTTTGTGTGCTTGGGACTTTTAATTTTACAATATTGAAATTCATTTAAATAAAAGAACACACAAAATCTTGTAAAAAAACGTATTATCTTGGTACAGTATAGTCAGCTACAAAAGGTTTAGTCTTGAAGCCGTTGTGTGTGCAGGAACATGAGAAATCCTTAAATAAATCAGCCCATTTACTTAACAAAAATAACATATAAGACAGTAAACAGTAAATTTACAATAGCTAGGTTGTAATTTACTAATAATAATAAGTATTTAGAAATGGAAATTAAATTCCTATGTCCTGGTAAATATTCTGGATCACAAACGTTATAGTGTTCAACTGTAGTGTGCATTGTAGCACAAGTAACGTTTTTCTAATTACTTCAGAAATAGGTACTTTTTCAGGCACTACTTCATTTTTGTAGTTTTTTTACTCTTTCCCGCTATTTCTATGACTCTTCTTAACTTTCTTCTTCCAAAAATCTATGTTTAACTTTAGTTTTTTGCCTCTATTTAATTGTTTAATAAGGCCTGACACCGGTGAAGACATGGTCTTGTCTGCCCAATACGCTGCACAAGGAACGTTCTTCCAGGCAGTGCCAAATTCCCCTACCCATAATTCAATGTTTTAGTTATAAAATCGGCTAAAAGATGTCACCACTTGATAGGCACAAGGAACGTTTTTCTATCAAAAACCTGCAAACTCTAATTCTGGCGCTTGGAACGTTTTTCCAGGGAGCCATTCAATTACCTCTCTTGTGGACCTTGTGGTTTAATTAATAACTCAATTCATTACAAATTATTGTTTTAGGCTAAGTTGTTAGCAATAAAATTGTTGTACAAATAACTTGAAAAGCTTAAAAAAACTAACAAATTTAAAGCCAGTTTCTTCAAAATGGACAAAGAACCAGTTTGACATAGAACCAGCGATCCGGACCCCCCCTCCACCTGGGGGGTATTCCATACCCCCAGACCCCCCGGTTGATCTTGCCACCCCAATTAAAAAGCTAAAATGACGCCCATGTGTATTAATTTGTAAATAATTAATATATTTCCCGTGGTTGCCAATATATTATGCTCATAAAACCTCTGCTGACCTTATCACAACTAGAACAAAGTAAGCAGTTGTGCCAAAGTCAACTTTTACCAACAGTTTTATTTTCATCGGACTCTGTGAATCTCCCCTTTAATCAATCTTTAGCCCCAGGTCATCAAGGTCAGGTCCTCTTTACAGTTTGTATTGCCCAAGGTTACAATACAGAAAATTAAAACAGTGCTGCTCGTTTTGTCCATAGCTGCCACCCTATCCGTCTTTAAAGTCACACTTAGTCTTGGTTTAATGGGCTTACTAAAATAATGTAGGCTTACTCAACTGGATTTTTTGCGAACGTGTTTAATCTACTAATGGGAATCAGGAGTCTACTCTACCACAATTACACTCTTATCATCTGATATCTTGAAGTCAACCCTATCCTTGTGACAATCTCCTAGCTGGATTAACTTGCTCCTCAGTATCTGAAGGTACATGCACTGGTAGCGAGAGCGTGTCTTATCTTCGGCATACCAGGAGCCTTCAGCTAGTTGCTGTTATTGTTAGGCACTAAAGCAACTATTAGATACAGTTAAACAAACTTGAGTTGACTCCAATATGGCACTCTTGTTAAGACAATGGTTCTGTATGTTGTGTAATACATGCACACCTTCTTAGCAAATCACAGTAGGGTGGTCGAGCTAAGGTCAAGAAATTGTTCGTTTACCTGTTTTCTGCGTGATAAATTTAACATTACAACTGTTTTATCACTTAAATGACACTCCTGGGATACTTTTAGATCTTACTGATGATTCTGTTGTGTTACAGCTGTCTCGTCGTCTCAGTGGTATGCATGGGGTCCCTCACACATGCAATGTAAGCTCTGTCACACCTGTTGGCAGTACTGGAAAAAATATGGAGGCCTAAAGACACCTTCTAGGATAGGTACTTGAACATACTAAACTCTTAGTAGATACATTTTTTAAAGTCCTAAAGTCCCATTTTGGCACTTTACCCTCTATTATACCCTGCATCGAAAGAGTTATGAACATGTGTGTCAGTGTATGAATTTGGAGTATGTTTTAAGTTATAAATATCTGGGAATCATAAATTGACCATAACATGAAATGGGACTTGCACTAAAACAATGAACTGATAAATTAAGGTTATGCTTATTTAAGTTATACCATATCAGACAATACCTGCCACAAAAAAAAAAAAACTAAAAAAAATCAATGAAATTCATATATTCAAGTCTGTGTGAATCATTGCTTAGATATGGTGTAAGGTCGTGAGGAGCAGCATCAAACACAGCCATAATGCAACTGAAAACCGTGCAAAGCAGGATAATCAAAACAATGACTAAGCTTGATTCCGCTGATCTGGTTGAAAATCCCATGCTAGGTTATCAATTGGTCATCATTTTCCAAGTTGATAAACTGTTCAAGTTTTTAATTACAACAGATTATAATTTTTCAGATGAGTTCAAAAACCTAAATGTACATAGTTACAACTCAAGGCAAATGTTCTTTATTGTGCCTAGAACAACAATATTCTATAAGAACAAGGAAATATTTGTTCCATTCTTGTTAAACAGTTTACCGGTACAGCTGAGGAATATATGTTACTATAGAGTTTTAAAGATAAAGTTAAATAATTTATATCTAGATCTGAGTTGAAAATAACTATGTTTCGTTCTATCTTATTTATCATTGTTGTTCATTACTCCAGATGTTTATTATTGTTACTTTTATCATTATTTATCAAAAAAAAAACACACAACCACCATTTTATTTTTTTAATAGTTGTTAAAATTTGACTAGCCTACTTAAAATTTTACGATTGGTTTGTTATTTATTTTGGTATATTATTGTATTCTGTGTCATGGTATAGTTTACTTACAGAAAAAAGGAAACAAAAGACTGATTGAATAAAAAGCACTGTGAAAAATTATAATAATTATTGCTGCAGACAAGCTATAAATTGCTTTTGTAGCTAAATTGTATGAGATTTGTAATCTTTGGAATTAAATAACTAAGATAGCAAGGGATTGACTCAATAGTAGGCTACTCACTGATGTAATGTTTTGTATTAATTCACTTAAATATGTAATTTATCTTTGTTTAAATTTAATTGTTGTGATTTGTTTCCGGTGCCATATACACACTTGTATATGTATAAACATGGTTATAACAACACATTTCCCCATTACAATAGTCTAGATGGATCATCAAGTGTGAGGAAGCTGGTTAGGCAGCCCACAAGTATATATTTTCAATAATGGGTATATTTGCTATTTTTAGATGCCCAGTACTCACTTTATCCACTTAATGATAAATGTTTCAACCAAGTAGTTGACTGGGTAAGGTGGTAAATTGAAATATTCAGTAGTCAACAGCTGTCCCAAGACTTTAAATTCCTTGCTCAACATTAAAACAAGTAAAGTCATATATATTATGAAAGGGATTTGATTTTCTATAACCCTATGCCCAGCATTTATTTTTAGGGTGCATAGTTTAAGATTTAACTTGTCAAAAAGAACAAAAAACACAAGAGGAAAATGTAAGTTTTAATTGTTTTAAATCACGTTATCGCCCAAACATTCTTTAAAATAGGCCAAACAAAATATGACAACAAATTTTATGCCTGTTTTAGTATGATATTTTTGTTGACAAGACCATAGTTGGTTTCCTGAATCTCTTTGAGCTATTGCAATGTCGAACACAATACCAGAATCAGTAAAATAATTTTGTGTTGGTAAAACACTCGTCGTTTTCTGACATTGAATTGTCTATTATGCAATAACTGCTGAAAGCTCAGCTGAAGCTAAGCAAAGAAAGACATCGTTGTTGTTATGAATATGACATCGCATCGAGATTGAGTCTCTAATTGTTCTAATTTGGTAAATGAGATTTCTTTATCATGATAACGAATTTAATTGCAAAAATGTATATTACCATAAAAAAAAACTTTGAACTTACTGTCAGGTATTGGTATTGGCATGGACTTTTGTCAATACCATTATGATACCATTATCAAGAATTGGTGGTATTGACAACTAATTGGTATCGAGAATTGTCACGTACCTCATTAAAGCATTAAAATTTGGTATCAAATTTCAAAGATTATCTCTGATCATCAATAATAAGGTTATGAAATTACAGTAGAACCTTGCTAATCGGTCACCTACGGGATCAGGAGTATGGTCGGAACAGCAAAAAGTTTGGATTATCAGAGGAACGCGTCTATTGACATAAAATCGTAGTAAAACTGTATTTTGAACAGACCCCGAACCACGTTTAATCCAACATGGCATAAAACTGTTATTTCCAACTCCTAAACTAAATGGACGTTAATGTGCATATTACATCATAAAAATACAATTAGTAGGCTATTGCGCAATCATGATAATTATGTTATGTCATTACCCTTGATTCAGTAATAAAAACTGTTAACGTTTAAAATCAAAGCTTTTTCAAACTTTTACTCAAACAAACAAATTGCCAAACATTGTACAGCAAAATAAAGAACAGAACAACAGAAAGTCTAGTAAGCTACTGCTAGTCATGGACTACTACTGTGCTGTTTCAGGACAGAAGAATGTTGATAAAATTATTAGATAACGTATAAAAAAATATAAAATAATAGTAGTCTACTTATGCATAACAACAGTCGTAAAATAGACCGATAAAGATAACAATGACATAAAAACATCGCTTATTCTTTCTCTTTGTTCTTCTATTCTTTCTTAAGTTTCTCTTCATCCTACCATTCAACAAGTTGCCACGGTTCCCAATCACAGACTACAAAAGTTGTCATGATTACCAAATAACCAATAACAAAATGTTGTGACATAGCAAGCGCACAGCAGACAGATGTGTCATGTGTAGGCCTAAGGAGCAGACGATTGTCAGTGTAAACGGATAGCTTGAAGCTTTGATCGGCATTTCTTTGTTTTGCTTCAATTTTATTTTTGTCAAATGAACTGTGATTTTCCAAAAATAATAATGTAGGAGCTACTTAATATTAATAATGTGCAGACATGGTTAAATATACAACGAATTTCAAAACATTAGACTAAATACCCCCGCCGCAGCAAAACCTGCAGACTTAGCGAATTTCCATTTGCCTGATTGGATTTAAACTAAAATGTCTCCTTAAAAATATCACATTCATTCCCTATTTAAACAGAATTAGTTTAATGAGTTCTTAGGTTTGCTGCAACAGGGAGGGTAAAAAAGTTTTTTTTTATGTAAAATGTTAAAAGGTACTGTGGTTAAGTAAGAAATTGATGTATTTTCTAAATTTGATCAAAATATGTTCATAAACAAGCAAACTACAACAGTTGACTTATCCTCCATAAGAATAACATGGGAATTTTAAAATTAAAATTTTTTTGAATTTTCTCCGTAACAATTAGGCGCATTATAACGCTTCAATATACTAAATTATTTGTTTTTTTAAGCTCTACATTTGGTTTAAAAAGAAATTGTGAAATTTTGTGTTTTTAGGGTCAAAAATGGGAAAACCCTATTTTTACCCCCATAAAACCCCCCATAAACCCCCGTTCCCATAGTCCGATCATGCTGGTTCGCGAACTCATTCAAGTTTATCCCGCCTTACACCTTCAAACCAAATTTTATCAAAATCGGACAAAAATTACTCAAGTTATCGTGCGGATGGACACATATATATATATATATATAAAAATTTGAACAAATGGTGTTTTTGGCCTCTGGGGACATCAAAATGAAAAAGTAAATCGGTCCCGGGTCTAGGTCTTACCGTGAGACCTACGGTAATAGCTACTTCCCTATAGGAAAATTCGCTAAAATACACAATTTAGAAAGTTTACTGGGTATTTTTCTTCGACAATGAGGTTATGTTAGCGGAAGCCTATTGTGTTGGCGGCACGGTCGGACCAAGCGAGGAGTCCGGCCATCAGAGGTCGGATTAGAGAGGTTCTACTGTATAGGCAAATTAATTAATGATAACGAATCAATAAACTCTTTTGCCTAATGTACTAGATATTTTCACCCTTAAAACTTGACTAAATATTAAAAATTTTCCTTTTTTTAGGAGACTCAGAAATGGATGTTGCTAAGAAAAAATCTGGAAGCATATCAGATGAAGGTGAGTGTATATGTTAATTGTTAGTATAACATGCTTAAGTGTGATAACTCTTTGGCTTTGAATTTTCAATTCTTTCAAGGACCATTTCTTTCAAACTATCACTAAATTGTCAATATCTTTTATTATATTTAGCCTACCTAAATAATTGGTTTCCACTTCATAAATATTGGAACAGTTTTTTTTCTTAAGGAGATAAACATTTATAAACATTCTTATTTTAACACTGAACACACTTAAATTAGTGAACACGGTGGAACTGCGCAGGTGATTAAGAAATCAGTTAATGGACTAATTTTAGGCCCTGGGGTGTTGGTTGGATTGTGCATGTAGTCAATTATGCATGGTTGAACGGTTGATCAAACCTTTTGGCGTAGGCCTTTAAGTCACTCTACACCCTGAAAAGATGGTATACGTTTGGGAATGAATATTATATGAGTTGAAAGTAGGACACGAAGTTGGAGTCGAAGAGAGTTTTATATTTTAATGGTAAGGACTGCAGCGATTTTCTCTTCACACATTAGTAACAAGTTTAGTATTAGGGAACAGAGAATTACTATGAAAATTGCCAGCAGTTAAACAACTCTCTATCCCTGTATTCTCTTTCCTTACTCTGATGTGAGCAACGATCATGTAAGGTTTTGACAAAACCACATGGGCAACTCAAACAATTAGTTAGGGTTGATCTTAAATTCTGAGAACGACATACACAACACAACATCACCCAAATAAGTACTTAAAGACATTCGTTGATTTGTTGTTAGACATGTTGTTAGGTGTTTCTTACTAATGTGGCGGTAAGTAGTTGTTATTAAAATTACTTTTTTACTATTTTTTCTAGCCCACTTTGCCCCTGAAGCAAGCCTAGCACTTTTCAGATGAAATAAGTAAATAACGCTAGCACTTTTTAGAAAATAGCATCAACATTTTCTAGCACCAAAACTCAAAAGGGTTAATTGGGATTGGTAAAAAAGGGATATTACAGAATTAAACCCTTATTGTATTATGCAGTGCTCAATTTGTAAAATATGAGGAGCTGAAACTGTAACCTATTTATTGTGATTAGTACCTATTTATATGCCAGTATTTTTATCTTTACGGAAGAGAGGTACCGAAACTCCGTTCCTCCGCGTTCCCCCACAAATCAGGCACTGGTATTAAGTATTGATATTAGTCCCCTATTAATCTCAGAATGTGTCACTATTTTGGAGAAAATCAAATTAATGTACTTTTATTTTTAACTTAGTCTTTTTTGGTTATGCTTGTATGTTCTCAAACATTATATTTAACTCTATGTCAACATTATAAAAAGAAGGATTGTAACAAATCAACTTATTACAAACATGCACACATTCTTGACATTACACATGCACTTCATACAAAAGCTCAGCTCGATCATATTGTTAGTTCTCAATATTAAGAACCAATAAGGCTAACTTCAATTTAAATAAAAATGAGTGGTTGATTATTTCTAAACTATTGGCAGTTAAATATAGACCGTCAGCTGTGTTGCGGTTACCATTGGTTCTGGCGCACACCGCTGGGATCGCCACGGTAGTTACAGCGTACGCGCTACGTAAACTACAGCGGTGTGCGCCGGAACTTATGGTAACCATGGTAACCGCAGCACGGCTGACGGTCTATATTTAACTCTTTTTGTCTATGTTAGCAGTTGTTTCTGTGTTTAGAGAATGGCGACATGTTGTTTCATTGGCCTCTCAGGTGCAGTTTTATTGGGTCATTTTAATGTACATATTTTCTGTTAAATATACAGAGTGGAATAAATTTGTCGTGATTATAAGCATGTGTTCCTGTGTTTGCAGGGTGGTGTCATCCAGTCTGATTCTTAGTCAATCTCACAGATGCAGTGTTATTGGGTCATTTTAACATACATTGACTCTGACATACATTGACATTGATCACCTCAAATGCTAAAATAATAAAAAATAATAATGAAAAACAGATTAGTGTATTTTTTTTTTATATTTATTGTACTTTTATATATATATATATATATATAAGTAATTATTGTCATGTACAAGTAGTGTGTCGTCAATTCTTTTCTTGATGAGTTAGGTTAACATTTTTTTATATGTTTAAAATCAAAGAAAATGTACAAGAAAAATACATTCCCATAAAAAAATCTGTTTTTATTTTTTACTGTTGTCTTCATATTATATTTAGCTAATCTGTAAGATGTGAACAAACAGCTTCTTGTACCATGTTTATGGTTTACTTTCACAGGGGTAAAAATTCAATAGTTGATCAGTCCAACCTTATCATGTACTCATGATATGTAGCTGAATGGACACAGTGTTTGCCTAGAATCAGAAGTTTGAAAGTCATTAGCTTTTTGATAGTCCAAAACTGGGACCAGGTGTCTTTTAAATAAATAGTTCTGGCTGTAGAACCAGCAGATCTTGGACAGTAACAAAGCCACCATCTCATTCGTTCAACACCCATCCTTCGCTATAAAACATGCACTATGGACTCTGGAGTGTGGTATTAATCTAATCTAATTTCATTGCAATTATAGCAATTATAGTGGTTCTGTCTCTTCTGTTATTGTGTTAAACATACAGTACATTCCTTGTCGTGCCGCTTACCCTACATCACACCTTCAACATAGCTAGCTACTGTACCTCTTTATACCTTAGCAAGAAATTCTGTTTTGAAGTTTTATTTTACTATGCTCCAAGAGTCCCAACATGTAAGTTGTTTTTTAAAGTTTTTGGGCCTACTCTAAATTCTTATACAAAATTTTCTATTTATAGAAAGAGCTTTTCTTTGCTTTGTTCTCGTCAAGTAATTACTTTACACATGCTACATACTTTATCACCAAATCATCTATCTTTATATTATGGGGCAGACAGTCCGACAATACTCAAGTGTGTCATCTGCAGTGAATGTGTTATGTACATTGTGGAATGTAAGCATGTTAATGTGTTTGCAGAATGGTGCCATCCAGGATTACTCATTAGCCTCACTGGTGCAGTTTTTTAGTATTTTTTTTTGTTTTTTTTGTACATTGCGATAGTGAATAGAACATGTTGTGATGATATGCAGATGTTTCTATGTTTGCAGAACGGGCACCTTCCAGTATGACTTCTCACCGGCCTCACAGATGCAGTATTATTGGTTGTGCTAAGGTACATTATCCTAAATTTATCGTCTAATTTTCTATATAACCCCCTGATTATAGTAACATTACATTCCTATTGACGCCATTGAACCAAAATTCCATTGACTTGGTTTTCTTTTCCCTTAATATTTTGAAATAGGGTATTTCAATATGTCAAAAGACTTAGAGTGTAGATTCTGACAATGGTATATTTCTTAGGGTTACGTCAAGGTAAACTATTTCTTAATTCTAATTCCATATTTTTTCAACCACCTTAACACGTTCGCTACCGACATGTTAAAAAATGACATAAATATAGACCGACCTTTATGCGCCACAACAACTTTACCACAGACCGCCGTCCCAAATGTGCGCCACTCGGGCCATTCCAATAGACCGACGTCCCACATATGCGCCAGTGTCCCCGGCTTATACAAATACGTCTCAGATCGTAACGGTCCATTTTTATGCCTTGATATTTTATATCGTTTTTCGGGGATATATGACATATATGTGGGACGCTTGGTCTCTGGATTTGACGATTGGTGTATTCAGTACAACACCATATATAGTACACCTGTTTTCCGTTTTGCTCACATGTGTTCATTTGAATCATAGCTGTACCACGTGTTTTCCAGTGAAGTTGAGGTTATACTGTGTGTATGTTTGTTCTCAGCAGTTGTGTGTTAGTTGGTTTTTGAGATGGATCGTGACAGGAAGAGACAAACTATAAAAACAGACAGTGAAATAGATAGTGAATTATGCATTAGTGATAGTGAATCGGATGATTCGTCTTTATTTAGCTCAAACGGCAAAAGTGAATATGTACCCTCAGCAGATGATGACGACTCATCGGAAAATGAACTCAGTACAAGTGAAGATGTAGGTGTGAGTAGAAACATCAACAGTGTAGATACATTAGAGGAAGGTAATGCAGAGAGAAATGATGGAGTGGATGTAGTTGAGGGAATGGATGTTATGGGAGAGGTGGATGTTGACGAGCAGCTGGAAAGTGTTTTTGATGAGGTTGAACTTGATGTTAACTTTAATGTTGATGAAGTACTTGATTTTGATTTATACCCTAACCTAAACAACCCTGTTATCAATGGGCCTGCCAACGATTTTGTGGAGGAGCCTGACAACAACATGGTCGTCGAACCTAACGAAAACGATGGTTCTGAGGTCGACCCAAACGTCATGTTTGTTGTTCAAGCAATACATGAACAGTATGAAAAAGCGGAAGATTGTTGGCAAAATAGTGATAATGTTCCCCCAATTCATAACTTTACGGGTGCACAGCGTGTAAACCTTGATACAGTAGATCCGGTTGAAATATTCAACTATATTTTCGATGATGACCTTATAAACATAATAGTTCTATGGGTGAATGAAAGAGCAACGCTCCTTCGAAGTAAACCCTTGGGGAAACATACAACAATGAATTGGTGGGTTGATATAACGCCTGATGAACTAAAAAAATTCCTTGGTCTCTGCATTTTAATGGGCAACCTACACTTTCCATCAATAAAACATTACTGGTCCAAAGACCCTTTGTATGAACATTCTGTTTTTGGCAGGACGATGTCCCGGAATAGGTTTGAGGCTATTTTGAGATGTTTATGCTTCTATGATCCTGCTACAGATAGATCTGACAACAAAATGCGTAAGATTTCCCAAGTACTAGATCACCTTCTAAATAATTTCAGAAAGGTTTTCAGCCCAGGAAAGAACCTATCATTGGATGAAGCGATGGTTTTGTTCAGGGAGAGATTGTCATTCAGACAATATATTAAAAACAAGAGGCATAAATATGGGATCAAGCTATATGAGCTATGCACGTCAGATGGTTACATCTTAAATATCTTTATCTACCAAGGGAAAGGCACACTAATCGACCAAGACAAGGGCCACACATATGAAGTTGTGATGAAAATCATGGAAGGTTGTTTAGGCAGGGGGCACACTGTCTTTTTATATAACTTTTATAACAGTGTCCACCTCTCTGAAACGCCAATGGCAAATAAGACAAATATGAGTGGCACCTTACAAGCGAATAGGGCTGGGAACCCCCAAGCTGTTGTCCAAGCAAAGCTAAAAAAAGGGGAAACGATTAGCCGTCAAAAGGGCCATGTTACCGTCATGAAATGGAAGGACAAGCGGAACGTCCTCACTATTACAACCGCAAATGGAGGAGGTGACCAACAAAAGAGGCAAAAAGGTATTGAAACCATGCATGGTTACTGCCTATAACAAAGGGATGAGTGGAATAGATAGGAGTGATCAAATGATATCCGACTATTCCACACCCAGGAAGTCACTGAGATGGTATATAAAGATTTTCTTTCATTTGTTGGATGCCTCTTTATGGAATGCCATGTATATCCATTCTCAGCTGACGACCAAGATAACTTATCTTAACTTCAGAGAACTCATAATCAAGGACTTTATTCAGCTACAACCTGTGCAACGAAGACGGCTGTCAAATTCCAGCAGCTCTTCGGACCACGTCCCAGTGAAGTTAGCGAAGAGGTTGAGGTTTCACTTCTGCAGAACAAAAAAAATCTGAGACGGCAATCGTTCTTCACCATCGTGCAAAAGTGAGAGGAATAAGCAAATTGGACTATGCATGCCAACATGCTTCAACGAGTGGCATGCAAAGATTGCTAAACATCTAGCTGACAACATCAATGGACCAACTGTTTAGCGATTCACATTATTCCATAGGCCTCTACCGGTTTTATTGACTTTAATCTTGTACTTCCTCTTGTATTTTATTGTTTTTTAGTAATGAAATAAAGTAATTTACTAAATAATGTAACATCCAGCTGACAAAATACAATAGACCAATTTCTTCCGATTGACATATTCCATAGGCATCTACTGGTTTTATTGACTTTTTATATTGTACTTCCTCTCTCGTATTTTATTGACCTTTATATTGTATTTCAATACACTAAAACCTCTTGTATTTTATTGATTTTTAGTCAAGATACTAGCTGTGTACCCGTTCTACGCACGGGGATCTTATAGTATCAGTTGAAACCTTCTTATATAAAGAACAGTAGTTGGTTTGCATATTTTCAGATATGCTGGCCAAACTATTTATTATACATAACTTCATTTTATGTCGTTTGTTGTTGTTCCGGATCGGTATGACAATCAATAAAAGGCTAAATTACCTGTGTCCGCCGGTCGATCCTAATGTATCCTATTACAGGAGATGCATTTCGGCGAAATTAAATCGCCATCATCAGTCCTAATATAAGGTATTGAGCTTCCCCATTAGGTGCATCTTGGAGTTTTTGAAACACATACACGAACTGTACACTTATACACATAACGAATAAAACATAAATACACAGTAGGCCTACTTTTATTTTTACTATGGACTAGTAGACGCGCGTCGGTCGTGTGCCGAGTCTTGACTGAAAACGCTCATTTAAAAAATGTAAGTTTCCCAGCAATATACAACACTGATTCAAGGTCTATTTCCCGGTTATTAAAACTCAAGAACAATTGTATGCATAAAGAATCTCTATTTTCATTTACTGTTACCCTACAAATTATTGCACTTGCGATTAATTAAATCCGTTATGTAAGGAAAAACGTTTTTAATCTTAATTGGTTTGGATTTGCTTTCAAAACGTGATCGGAAATGGTTGCAGTATTTGTAAACAAAATTCAATGTAAACATATCAGTGACAGCTAGAAGAAATAATCTTGATTTGAACAGCTGTTCGTTATTTCATAGAAGAATATGTGCTATACATTGGGAGAAAACTTTACAAAAATCGCACAAAATTGGGTTTTTAAACGTCCGTCATTTTATTTACAAAGTGGTGACGCCATATTTTAATGGCTAAAGACAATCTCGCCAATCCAGTGAATGCATTAAAATGATTTGGAACTTGATAGGTACTCTCGTTTTTCAGGAGTAGGCCGCGTAAAATGGCTCTTGGGTCGTAACAGACTGGAAGACAGACAGAAATTTAGATGAGACTTGTTTCGGTTTCTCTAATGTATAACACGTAAAAATAACCTAAAAGTTTATGATTCTGAGCAATGTACAGACGAAACTCTAATTTTATTTATATAGATAAAGTAATTAACTAAATAATGTGTTTATTTCATTTAAATCATTTTTGAAATTATTATAAATATGAAAATTATTATGGCGCAAATATGGGACAATCGGTCCATAGTAAAATTGCATTATACATTTTTGCTATAGACCGACGGCTCACATATGCGCCGTTATTAAAATTCGTCAAAACTATAAAAAACAAAAGCAATTTAGTAGAAGTAACAGTGGTGCAAGCGAGAATATTTTATTTCAACTGATTAGAACATGTTTTTATTTACGGTCTGAGCTAATCACAAATTAACTACCTCCAGTCTATCAGTGACTTTCAATATTAGGGTCGGTCTATTTTGATCGCCCTACCGGCGCATATCGGTAGCGACCGTGTTTATACACCTTGCTTATACCATTTACCGATCATTCTACTCTCAAAGTGTAATTACTGTAAGCCTTTGCTTTTCAACTATTTAATGTCTTAAGGCCGGCGCACACAAAGACAGGCGGACTCACGCCGACAGACGGACTAAAATTCGCTCCCCATGTGACAACACAAAATGACGAAATGAGACAAAGCACACAAGAATCCGTACGCCTGCCCTGAGACTGCTTGAGTTTGCCGACGGATTTTTTGAAACCGCATCTCGAGCGATCTTTAGCGAATTTCCCATATAGGGAATTGCTACTTAAAATCCTCCTTCAGACATTTCTGCTGTGCATGCGCAAAGAGGTTTTTTCAAGTTACTTCTCCGCACTGCTACTAGGTGCGCTATGGTAGGCCTATGTTTACTCAGGGTGTCCAGCCGACCTGGAAACCGGGAATCATGTGTAAAATTTTAATGACCAGGAAAAAATCAATGAATTGAATGTACATTTTGTAAAGAATCAAAAACATTTAAATGTTTGAGTGGTAGCCAAAAATCCGCCCAAATTCACCAATTACTTTTCCTTTTGCGTAGTTGAAAATCACGATCGCAGGGGAAACTATTTCGTTGCCGTGATCGCAATATATCCTCACAAGTGATGCCGTAATTGCGACCAACTTTCACTAATTTTTCCACAATCGTGTCAGACACTCACTACGTTTCCGTAATCGGACAGCTCGAGACGTCCGCTGTCTCTATCTTTGTTGCTCCTATCACATGGCCCTTAGGTGGCGTTATGGTGACGACCTTCTAGCACTATCTTGCTCACGAAGAAGGTCGGCACATCGGCGCGCCAAATATTGATGATAGCCTAATAATAATTACTGGTTACGCGCACCGAGTCAGCACACCGTCGCGCTGACAAATCAAATTTTCCTTGTGAAATTAAATGTACGCGGTCTTTCCCTCGGCCAAACAAAACGATGGTATTTGGGGAATAAACTAAACTGAATCCTCTTGTAAGGGAAGTTAAATAATGAAGAGAAAAATAAAACGAACTAAAATAAAACCATCTCCTAGAAATAAAATAAATTAACCCCCTGTATGAAGCCACGTACTTCTCGGCTTTGAATTAATTAAATGTGGTTTTAAAATAAAAGGAAACGAAAGGCGTTTGAGACGCCGCAGACGCAGCGTCGTGCTATGGGTTATAACGTACGCTAAACTACAGTATACAGTAGACTCAGAAATATTCTATCACTTAAAAAAATAAACTAATTTCGCCAAGGTGAGAGGAAGAATGTTACAATATCGATATCAGTACTATATAGATACACTAATTTAAGCAATAGGCTAATACAGTACTTACGTGTTGAATTTTTTCAATTATTCAAGTTTATTTAATACTTGTTCGCTTATGTACATACTTGACTTGTATGACTTGACGCACAGTCTCGAGAGAGGGTAGTGGACAAACATTTCGCTCGTCGCCAACTGACTGAAGGACTGGCCGTGTCTGCCTACTACTGCCACCGCTACGCTAGCGCCCCGAGTTAGCAGTGGTCGAGTTCCGAACTAGGACACTTGACATGTCTAGTGTTACGTCATTGTTGCTAAACGCGTTCAAGCAGTTCGCGGCATGAAAATAATGAAAACGTACCCCTAACCAAAATCTGACCATTACAGATAGAACGATGGACACCCTATAAATTACACCTACTTGTGAGCAACTGTCATCCTGTTTCACACGTGGCTCCATTTCTTTGGTTAGTTTTTGCATAATTTTTAGAATATCATGGCTGTACAGTGTACACGAAGTGAAGGACTGGAGGGAGTGCTCCTGCGGTCCGTCCAGCTGCAGGAGTCCATTCTCATGAGTCCGTGTGTCTCTGTGTGCACCAACCTTAAGGGTTATTCTTTTGTACAAAAAAAAAAAATAACTAAGAGATTGTAGTTTAATTGAGAGAATTTTTTATTTGTTTGAATAAAATATGGATTATTATTTATACCATTTTTAAAATTATTTGTGGTGTCTTTTAACTGATGATGTATGCCCTTTGCAGGAGTTCAAACTAAAGGCACATTTAGCTCGACACTATGCAACGGCACACGGACTTGCCATTCGTTCGGGCAGTCCACGTCCTATTATGAAGACTAGAACAGCATTCTACTTGCACACCACACCACTGACTCGCTTGGCTCGTCGTCTGTGTCGCCACATACTGCAGCCAAGACATGCTGCACGTGCACCCTTCTGGCCCATCAATGTACCTGCTATCAAACAAGAGTGTAAGTTAAAGAGAAAATAGTACACAACATCAGAGTCTAACTTCCTACAACCTGTCCATATAGATGAGATGTCCAATTCAGTATCCAACGTCAAATCGAACAAAAGTGGGATTTCCTTAAACTTATGTAGATTTGATGTTTATTAAATCGGTGAAACTATATTTTATCAGGACTTTGTTCCTACAGATCAACTACAGACAATGGGCAAGAACATGGGTGAGTTGGCTACAGTGTGGCCTAGGAAAGATCGTGGCAGTGTGACCAACATCGCCACACGCCTGGGTCAGGCTCGCCATCACGAACTCATTGTACCAGATTGGCTGGCACCCACAGAGAAGGATAGATTGCCCCGTCAAGACCGCATTGCTTTCCCAAAGCCACCAAAGGCTCCAGGTTAGTTGATACAAGATCTATTCTATTTGAGTTTACAACTAATCTCTCTGTACAAGTTTTAACATGAGGTTTGATGTGTATCGGGTGGTAAAGTAGATCATAAATTTTTTGCTTACAAACTTCTAAAATTTTATGCCGCTATGTGCATTTATCGGCCTATTTCATGTATCCCTGTGCTGGACAAAGTTTTTGAAAAGCTCTTAAAAAAGCAACTGAATTCATATTATGAAAATATGAATACAATTCCGAATCTGTTCAGCAGCAATCAGTTTGGCTTTTATAGTTTTTTTTTTGTTTTTTTTACAGAGGGCCAGGCTTATAAATAGACCATGGGATTGAATTGCATCTGAAACAGCTTATTGTGCACCCTCATTCACAGGTCCACTCTGTCAAATCCCAGGTTCTTTGTGAACCATAAGATCCTTTTGACAATGGTTACCTGTAGTGATGGGCGGATCCAAGAAAATGCCGGTACCGGATCCGGATTTGGATCTTGAAAAATTCTGATCTTTGGATCCGGATCCGGATTTTGAAAAATTTGGATCTTCGGATCCGGATCCAGATATACAATTAAAAAAAAATAAAAAAATGTGGTGGGTTAAAAAAAACTTAATATTAACAGAATGCCAATTCAAATCATACTGTTTAAATTGGTAATGTTTAAAGGTTAATATGTCCTTATAGAATAGTGATGGGCGGATCCAAGAAAATGTCGGTACCGGATCCGGATCCAGATACACACTGTCATAAGGGCGGGTAAAAAAAAACGTAATTAACAGAATGCCAATTTAAATCATACTGTTTAAAATTAAATTGGTAACGTTTAAAGATTAATACATCTTATATATACTGTGGACCTGGAACGAATAACATAGATATATAAGCAAGGGGTGATCCAGGCATACAAGACCGATGTTTTCCCGATTTTATTACTAACACAAAGCTGTCTGTATCTATGTACAAGACTGACTAACCGGATAACACGATGGTAAAAATTATTACCGGTGTAAACATTACTACCGGTTATTATTACCGGTTTGGTAAACATTATTACCGGTGGAGGTGCACTTGCCTAGCTATCATTACTGTGGACCTGGAACAAAATTTGGTTGTAAAAATAATTACCGGTGGAAGATTCATATGCCCGCCTATCATTACTGTGGACCAGGAACTAAATTCGGTGGTAAAAATTATTACTGGTTGAAGTGCATATGCCCGGCTATCATAACTGTGGACCTGGAACTAAATTCGGCAGTAAACATTATCACCGGTTGAAGTGCATATGCACGGCTATCATTACTGTGAACCTGGAACAAAATTCGGCGGTAAACATTATTACCGGTTGAAGTGCATATGCCGGCTATCATTACTGTGGACCTGGTACTAAATTTGGCGGTAAAAATTATTACCGGTTGAAGTGCATATGCCCGGTTATCATTACTGTGGACCTGGAACAAAATTCAGCGGTAAAAATTATTACCGGTTGAAGTGCATATGCCCGGTTATCTTAACCGGTACTGTGGACCTGGAACTAAATTCGGCGGTAAAAATTATTACCGGTTGAAGTGCATATGCCCGGTTATCATTACTGTGGACCTGGAACTAAATTCGGCGGTAAAAATTATTACTGGTGGAAGTGCATATGCCCGGCTATTTATTATTGTGGACCTGGAACTAAATTCGGCAGTAAACATTATCACCGGTTGAAGTGCATATGCTATTTATTACTGTGGACCTGGAACAAAATTTAAAAAAAACGGCTATATACAGTAATGTGTATTTGCTCGACTCTCGATAGTCCGGATTTTTCGTAATCCGGACCGGACGCCCACCACTTTAGTCCGGATGAGCGTACATGGATACAGACAGCTTTGTGTGAGTAAAAAATTGGGAAAAAACTGGTCTTGTACATGGATACAGACAGCTTTATGTTGGCAAAAAAAAATCGGGAAAAAATCGGATCCATCAAAACCGGATCCAGCCCTAGATCCGGAATTTTTTGGATTCGATCCGGTGCCGGTTCCAGCTCGGATCCGATTGTCCGATATCCGGATCCGACCATCACTATTATAGAACAATCTCCAGTTCAGCCCAAAATCCCTCATTTTTGGGAGATACTAAAAATTGTCAAAATCATAAAATGAAACATGAAACATGTTGCTAAGTTTGCACGACCACTAAAAGGATATCTGTGTATATTTTACTATACTTCGATCTTGAGTATGCTATATCGTGGTTTTTGCATGAAGCATCCTATTTTTTTTGCCTGGATCACCTCTTGTTAATCTCTTCCTTAAATTTGTTCCAGGTCCACAGTACTTATAGGCGTGTATGTGAAGTTCTATAGGTAAAATACCCTTTTCCTACAGTTACCTAACAATGTACATGTTCTCTCACTGATTTGAGAAAGCAAAGTGGCCAATTCGCTCATCAGTGAGACAATGTTAACATTGTCTCACTCTAATTACTTTGTCTCACTCCAGATTTGCAACGTGAATGCACGAAATAGTGAGCGCGTAACATGCAGGGAACGTCGTATGCGCGCAAAATACGTTGGCAGCACTGGCTGTAAATCAGCTGGTCAGCTGTTGTACTGTTGTATTTGTCACTTCACGTTAAATGTTATATAAAAAGTTCACTTCTGTGTAAAAATAGGTAATGTTTCTTCACCAATTTATTTGTTTTATGGTAACTGTAGGAAAAGTATAATGTGCAACTCGAGTTCAAAGTACAATTGCCTCACTCGAGAAACCATTCCTCACTCGCCTACGGCTCGTGAGTAAGGATTTCTCTCGAGTGAGTCAATTGCTCACTTCTCTCACTAGTTGCACAAATAACTAGGGTCTGTGTACAAGAAGATTATTTGTGTCCATACAGGGTGAATAAAAAGTCAAGACACCCCATCTAATATGTTAGAACACAGTTAGGACACAGACAGTATTTTAGGACATGCTATTTTACCTGTAGAACTTCACATACCCGGCTATCAGTACTGTGGACCTGTAACAAATTTAAGGAAGAGATTAGCAAGAGGTGATCCAGTCATAAATAAATTGGATGCTGCATGCAAGAACCATGATATCGCATATTTAAGATCGAAGGATAGTCAAATTAAATCAGTGGCTGACAGCTTATTAGGTTGGGAAAGGGTAAAAGCTTCAATCCAGGGGTGCCCAGAGGGGGGATACTGTGGCGCGTTTGCGCCACAGGAATTTTTGGGGGGAATTTTTTTTAGGAGATTTTGGGGGGGGGATATTTTTTTGCTAGATGTCATAATGAATGTATAATTTTGTATAAACAGCCCGAAGAAGTGTTTCTTAGTTGCTCACTATCAACACCAACAACATTTTACCATTCGTAATTAAGATTGCTTCTAAGAATGGTAAAAACACACCTTGTCAGACAATCCTTAACATGCCAGTGTAGAATTTTACTTGCTACATAGGCCCTATGTTATTGTGGTTTTTTTAACTCCACCATCGTCAGGATTTACAAAAGATCCACTTCTGGAGGAGTCGTCAGAATACGTTACAAACATTTAACACAAAACACGAAACGATTACAGATAAGCCTATCCAATTCACTCGTGTACATTGCCGACGGCCGTCGGTAGGACTGGAAGTAAACTGAATCAGGTTCAGGTTGTGACGGACCGACGTGGTCTCTGGATTGTCGTCTGCGTTTTGAACAGCTGATATTGGACTACGTATTGACTATTGTAGTGACTGAGAAGAGTGTTAAATATAATGGGATTCATAATAAATTGAGTGTTTTCACTCAAAAATAAGTATTTAATAAATTTCCTTTCGCGCAGTACTGTAGAATTTCGAGACCATCATATATCCAGCAAATAAATTGGTTATTATTGTCAATAATTTTGAATGGAAAACTCAACTATGAATCCCATTATATTTTCAACACTCTCCTCCGTCACTACAATTAGTCCAATATCAGCTTGTTCCGTCAAGTGTCTTTGTTTCATCTATTAATTTAAATGTCTTTGTATTTAACATCCCATCATATGACCATTATCCATTGTTGGATTCTTTCATCGCGAATCACCTCTCATAAAAACATGTACTCATTATTTCTCTCATAAATTAAACCTCTTTTATACCAAAACCCTCGACCTTTTACTCTTTATTATAATAACACCGCACATTTTTTGTCCTTTCGAGTATGGCTTTGATCTGTACTTCAAATGATTTGAAATGTTTTTGTTGCCATAAAAATCACAAAATATACAGTTGCCCTGTCTTTAATAGTAAAACCCCTCAAGAAAGGCTTAAAGTTGTACGCGACTTAAAACGCTGCACAAATTGCCTTGGTAATCACTTTGCTAAACGCTGCAAGTCGACTAATACTTGTAAGACCTGTTTGAAACTTCATCACACACTCCTTCATTTTTGGAAGCCTACTAAGCCTATGGCTGATAACAGAAATCACTCCAACCAAGAAAAAAGAAGCAATATCAAATTCAAAACCTTCAAAACTGACAGCTGTAACTCCTGGCCATTTTCTTATCAAATCTTTTCTGACAACTGTTCCTGACCCAACAAAGATCTCACCTCTTATTGATAATTTACCTCAAGACATCACCCAAAGCCTATGCTGCCGTTGGAGAAAGGAATATTTTAAGACCCCTCATCAGCGTTGTTTCAAGTGGAACCTCAAGAAAGAAAACCTCAATGTTTGCTAAAACACACCAGCTCCTCAAAGCTACAGACCAGCTGATCCTCATTCAAAGTGTCTTCATACCATTAAGCTACATTCTTAAAATAATTTTTCAACCCACTCTGGTCAATTCTCGTAAAAGTTTTATATTTTTTCAATTTCTCTTTTGTTGAACCTTGTTGGTTCAAAGGGGGCGGTATGTTCCGTCAAGTGTCTTTGTTTCATCTATTAATTTAAATGTCTTTGTATTTAACATCCCATCATATGACCATTATCCATTGTTGGATTCTTTCATCGCGAATCACCTCTCATAAAAACATGTACTC